CTCTTTTTCTTCTTTATCTCTCCCTGGTTTAGGTATCAGGACCACACACACACACCCACACCCACACCCACACCCACCCACCCACACACACACACACACAGCCACCCACTCTAGATATTTAAAGACTAGGTCTCCCTATATCCCCCAGGGTAGAAGTGTAGGGCTACTTATGGGCCCAAGACCACTACTGACAGGCAGGGGAGCTTTGACCTGCTTTCTTTCTGACCTGGGCTTTTTACCCCTTCCTAAGCAAACTGGTTCTTCTAACCATTCCAAGCCCCCAGGAATTCACCATATTGATTCCAAACTACATATAGCCCTTTGTAGCTTAAAATATCTGAGCAAAAGAGATCTACTGGCCTCAGTTTCCCTAGTAGTTGGGTCATGTATGTGCGTCTATTCCCAGCTGCCATATTGTATTTTGGCAGAATTTTCATAGGATTCCTTTCTTTCCCTATTTTTGCAAGCAAATATTAAAATATTGGTATTGGTTGTTCTTTGAATTTTGATAGAATAAATTCACTTGTAAATCCATCTGGCTCTGGGTTTGGTTTGTTTTTTTTATAGAGATTTCCTTTATGACCCTTTGGATTTCCTTTTCTGAAATAAGGTCATTTGAATTTTCTATTTCTTGTTCACTTAATCTGGGTAGTCAATATATTTTTGAATTTAATTGATTGGTTATCCTCACATATATTGAGCAAGATAATTTTGAATACTTTTCCTTATTTCTTCTTCATTTGTTGCAAATTCTGGCAATTTTTGACATTGGCAATTTAGTTTTCCTCCTTTAATCAGATTGACTAATGGTTTAATCCTTTTTTTTTTAAACAGGTTCTATTTTTACTTACCAAGTTAATTTTGTTGTTGTTGCCAGTTTTATCTCCTCTGATGTTTCAGAATGTTTATTTTGTGTTTCATGATGGGTTTTGATTTGTTGTTTTTGTAATCTTTTTGGTTGTAACCCAATCAGTGATTTGTTATCTCTCCATTTTGTTGGTGAGAGGGCCATATTTCCCCCTAAGGACTGCTCTGGCCACCTCCCAAAAGTTTTGGCACCTTGTCCCAGATGAGGATGGCTTCCTTGTGCTCTGCCTCGTATAGGGATCCCTCCCTGGCTTCTGCCCCTGTCTCCATTTGAGGCTCCATTTGAGTGTTGGCCTGAGCTAGTGTCTGTCTTTTCTATAAAGACTCCAAATGGATGTCATCCATTTCCCTGGGTGGAAGCAGGTCTCCCGCCAGAACCCAGGGGCTTGTGGCTCCAAGGCGTTGCCTTGGGAGACTGGGGTCTCCAGCTGTGGCTCTGTTATGGGCTGCTTGGGTGCCATTCTCTGGATTATATGTCAAGATGTTCTCATTTGCTAAGTTCATAGCAAAGAAAACCTAGTTTAAAAAAATAGGAAAGTGGGGCAGCTGGGTGGAACAGCAGATGAAACATTGGCTCTGGAGTCAGGAGGACCTGAGTTCAAATATGGCCTGATACTTGCTAGCTGTGTGACCCTGGGCAAGTCACTTTACCTGGTTTGCCTCAGTTTTCTCATCTGTCAAATGAACCCAAGAAGGAAATGGCCAACCACTCCAGTGTCTTTGCCAAGAAAACCCCAAATGGGGTACGAAGAGTCGGACATGACTAAAATGACTGAACAACACAAAAGCATGACCTTTCTGGGCCTCCATTTCAACCCCCGTAAAATGAGTGGATTGGATTATATGTATTCCAAGGTCCCTTCAGCTCTCAATCTTACAAGCCTGTTGTTGAAGGTGTGTGATTTGGGTTTGTGGAGAAGATGGATGTTGCCAGGACAAGACTGTGAACTTCCTGAGGTCACAACTGTCTTTTGCCTTTCTTTGTGTCCTCAAGTACTCAGCACAATGCCTGGTGCGTGGTGGGTGCTTTGTAAACACTTGTTGACTTGTAATCTTGTTAGCACTTCAGGAAACTTTGGAATGAAGCAAGATTTCTGGATTTTAGTATTCATCATAAGAACTCATGTTGATTATACAGATGATGATTTCTTTAACCAAACTGTGAGGTACATTCCGTGTCTCACTTCTGTTTATTTCTCTGTCAGGGTCAGTCAAGGACTGAAAACTCTCAGATCAGGTGTTTCTAACTTCATGTCTGTGACCTGGTTTTTGTTTTTTATGCATTTATACATACATGCATATTTGTATGTATATGTCTGTGTGTGTACACACAGAAATATACACATACTCACATTTATCAAAGTCTATGTGTATGTGTATACACATGTGTTTTGATATATGTTTTGGTATTATTAGTTTCCTTTATAATCCCGTTTATTTTGTTTCATACATTTAAAGACAGTATGCAGAGAGGGGTCTATAGACTTTAGCAGATTGCCAAAGGGATTTGTCTCTCACATACACACGCACGCACACACACACACACACACACACACACACACTAAAAAGTCCCGAAAGACTCAATTGGATGATGATTATTCCTCTTATATTTTCCAACCAAGACATAGACAATTTTATTTTGCCTTTAAGAATTTTAGGAGGATTTTACAAATTAGGGAAGTAAGCTGGTGTGTATTAATTCCTACATATGAGTTTCCCTCTTTCTTATTCCTTTAATTTGGCGGCAAATGAATCTCTATTAAACACTGGTTTTAGCTTCTCTTTAGGTCAGGAACTGGCTGCTGAATGGAGTATCTCCCAGCATGCCCAGAAGGAGGAAAACCAGATCTTGGTGTTTTGTTTTTTAAGGAGGATAGTAAAAGGTTTGGGGGAGCTAGGTGGCACAGTAGATAGAGTGCCAGGCCTGGAGTCAGGAAGGTTCATCTTCATGAGTTCAAATGTGACATCAGACACTTAGTAGCTGTGTGACCCTGGTGATGGGGTACTCAGGCCCAGCCCTAAGATCCTGTCTCTGGAAGCCTTCCAATTTCTCAGTAGGCCCCTGTCTGTGAGAAAATTTTCTCATCTTGCAGAACACATTCTCTTGTCAGAACAAACAGAGAGCTGCCTGACCCAAGGATTTTTGTCCCTAGCTGGCCCAAGGACTTTTCTGCCAGATCCCTGAGGTCCACACCTCTGACCACTCTCTCAATGTCTGGTATACTCCCTATACTTTCCCATCTGTAGCTCCCAAAGATAGCTGGACCCTTAGATTATCTAATTAGCATCCCTGGCATTCCTTTTCCATGCCCCTTTTCCACATAAACCCTGGCACCATCCTCAAATCTCTCACAGGTTCCCATAAGGACCCTTGCCTGCTTTTGCTAAAGCATTACAATAAACTCTTTTCCACTTGACTAAGAAGGCTTGAGTGTGTGAATTCATTCCAGGCAACCCTGCCTTGGCATTCTCGGGGTCCCAGCCCCCCAAAACCTTGTCACTGGGCAATTCACTTGACCTTGTTTGCCTCAGTTTCCTCATCTGTAAATTGAGCTGGAGAAGGAAATGGCAAGCCACTCCAGGATCGTTGCCAAGTAAACCCCTAATGGGGTCAGGGGAAGTTGGGCGAATCTCAACGACAAAAGCAGGTTTTGTTTTTGTGCTTTTCAGTTCACATAAGAATTCATCGCAGGATTTCTTTAACTGTGCCTTCCCTGCTGTGTTCCAGTTTCAGATTTACATTGTAGATGTTGTTGGGGACACAGAGGTCATTTAGTTCGGTGTCATTTTACACATGAGGAATGGATGCTCAGAGAGTACCAATAGTACCAGTGGTGGACCTGGGATTTGAACCCTGGTCTTCTGGCTCTGTCCATATCCATTCTTTTACCTCTCCTTAGCAGCAAGTGGGGAACGATAATCAGTAGTTTTCGTAGCACTTTACAGATTGCAGACATGTATTAAGTGCCTTCTGTGTTCCTCCTTTCAAAATATGTAGAGTGTTGGGGATTTGGGGGGCTGTTTTAAGGTGCTATTTCGTAATGCTCTCTACAGAAAGCACTGGGTTTTTTTCTCCCTTCTATTTATTAATGCCTCATCTAGGAAGGCAGGCTCAGGCAGTTCGTGAAAGGAAGTTAGAAGAGACAAAATCATAATCAAGTTAAAGGGAAGAGATTGCAGTGGCATGGGGTCCCCTCCCAGGATCAGGGTAGTCTATAAATGTATATTATTTTACGCAATACTAATTTCATACAATTAACAGGCTACCTAGCAAAGATGAGCCCATTTTGCATCCTTAATCAGAAAAGTTTGGGGATAGTCTTGAACCATTTTCTCTTTTATGTAGCCTTTTGGGGCTAATAACAGCCCGTATTTATGTGATCCTCTAAGGCCTGTAAATATCCCTTTCCTTCCAGCAGTCACGCAGAGTAGATCGTTAAAAGGTAAACTATGAAATAGAACAATAGCTTAAAAGTAAAAACCCATTTTACAGATTTTAGATACAAAGACTGTTTCTTAGGGTCCAAAGTCTTCTCTAGAAAGGGCCTCCCTGGGCCCATATTAAGGTGGTTCCTTCTTGAATAATTCTTTTTCAGTGTGGGACGGCTCAAGTTGTTTTTTTTTTTTTGAAGTGGCTATCGCTGATGTCCCCTTCAACAGAATTTTCTTTAGTCTTTCTCTGATTCTTCCTGCTTCTGCCCAGTCTGAGAAGGCAGATTTAGGCCGCTGAGAAAAGGAAGTACGCAGAGCCAGAAATAGGCAGGAGAGAATGGAAATCTGTGCTCAGCCTGCCTCCGGCAGCGCTCTCTGTGGTTTTTAAATAGCTGCTGCCTGTGTGTCATGCAGAGGCTGATTTCCCTACATATCTGGAATCCCACCCGCCCCGCTGCTGCCAGCCTGGATGGGCGAGGGGGGGGCTACGGAGGAGGATCCCGCTCAGACGGCGGTGGGCGGGGGAGGGGGTGGCGAGCATCCTGCCTCATCAGCATCCATCCATCCATCCATCCATCCTTCCATCCCGCATCCTGGGAGGTGCTTCTCCTGCGTTCACGGTCACATGAGCCTGGATTTTCAGTCCGGCTCATTAGGCAGCCATCTTGGTCAACACCCTTGCTCGCTGCCCGGCCCGCCGTGTCCTCCGGTGCCCGGGCGGAGGCCCACCCTGACCCGAGAGCCTGCGACTCTGTTTTTCGGAGGCCGAAGGACGACCAGAGCGCCCCGGGGGGCCATCCTAGCCTTGTCCTGTGGGCACCGGCCAGGTTGGCCGGTTTTTCTGTGTGCCGGGCGGAGGCCAGATTGCTGCAGGCGGCCGGGGTGGCTGAGGCCCAGCGGGATCGGAGCCCGACTGGAAGCGTGCGGGAGCTGGGCGGGAAGGCAGGCGGGCGGAGACGAGCATCCTTTCCTTTTTGCTGCGTGTTAGGGGCTCTCTCAAAGGGAAGAAAGGCTAGCGTGGCACCGTTTGTTTGTGCTAGTCTGCTTTTAAACTCCGAGGTGTTTACTCTTTCTTTCCTGCACCTGAAAGCTCTGTTCTAGTGAGCTTTGAGTTTGGGTGGGGTTGGCTTGGGGAGCTTGGCTTGGGATTTTTTTTTTGGTGGGGGGGGTGGCTTTTTTTTTTTATTTTTATTTTTCCTCTGTGTGTGTTGTGGTCCCAGCTGAGTCATCATGTCCGCCCTGACACCTCCGACCGATATGCCAACCCCTACCACAGACAAGATCACCCAGGCGGCCATGGAAACCATCTACCTTTGCAAATTTCGGGTGTCTATGGATGGAGAGTGGCTATGTCTCAGGGAGCTGGATGACATTTCCCTTACACCAGACCCAGAACCTACCCACGAAGGTATGGCCCCTGCCCTTGCCCTCGCGGTTCCCCAACACCCCCCCACCCCTGCCATTGTTATAGAGACGAAGGAGGGGAGGAGGGGGAAAGGAGGAGGGAAAAGAGCTCAGCATTCTGCATTCTGATTTTTTTTTTTCATCCCAACTCCCCTCCTCCACCCTATATTAACATATTCTTACTGGAATTTTTTTTTTCCTTCTCCCCATGGGACATCTCTTTCCAAGTTGGTGCCTTTTTAGGGCTTTTGATATCCAGATTTATTATCCTGGAGCAGTGTTGATCAGTATCTCACATATTAAAGGCTACTTTGCCATCAGTGATTTGTATAAATAGGGCTAGAATCAACGTGGTGTCAGCACCACAAAGACTGGTTTTACATGGGATAAATTAAGAGTTCACTTGGAGAGAGGGAGGGAGCCTCCATTTAAATCCAAAAGTCTTCTCAGGGGTAACACTCTTGAGTGAACTAAACAGAATTGAATTGGAGTGTATGAGGCCTGGAAAGCTGACTTTGAAAATCTGCCTTAAATTCCCATTAAATCAACAGCCTCGCATTTGACATTAAAATCAGTGCCTATGCATGATGAAATCTAATTAGATGAGAAAGCAGTTTTGCTTCGAAGATTCAGTATAGTGATGATGGGGTAATAAAATAAAAACATAATGCTTTTATGTGTCAAGGTCGATTGATAATAGCGATCACCAGACCCCAGGGGTGCCTCTGAGAAATTTCACTTTCATCAGATATTAGTTGCTATAATTTCTGCTAAAAATGCCCCCTGTTGAAAGTCACCACCGGTTTGTTTATTTGGGCACGTAACTTTTGGAAGGGATAGGGACTGGACTGGAGATTTCGTTGATGGGGGAGACTCCCTTTACCAATGCAGGTTGGCACCCCCTCTTCAACTTACAGCTTTAGAGAGTACCCTTAAACACTGAAAGGTTAAATGACTTACAGAACTCAAGTGCAGGTCTTTCTGGCCCTGGAGGCCAATGTGCATGTTGCAGGCAATTCTTGAACCGTGGCTTCCAGCCAGCTCTCTGGCCCCTATGCCTTCTGCTTCCCATTCTTTGGAAACCTGTATAAACCACAAGGTATTCCTCCTGTTCTCCAGCCTTTGCCCCCCAAGGCTCCCTCCTCAAGTGAAAACCTAATTTTAATTTCCTTTGTTAATCTCTTTACAAATCACACTTACCATAATAGAAGCCAGGAAACCAGATTTGCTGACCTAAGTAGAAAATTCATTTTTAACATTATTCCCTTTGATATTTGGATCTTTCCTGCCAGGCCAGAACAGAAATAAGAGCGTACGCCCTAATGAGAGCACCTCCCTTACTGACTCCACTCTGGTTTTTTGCTGTATCTCAAACTCTACTTGGCATTTTTGAGGAAAATGTCATTGGCTAATTTCTTTTGAGGGGGGGCAGTGCAGACTTGATTTTTTTTGGTGTGAAGAATTCCCAGAGGGAGGAAACACCTGCATCCAATGCAGGTTGGCATTTACTGTCCTATTCAGGCCTAAATTTAGTTGATGGTGACTTCAAGAAGTCAGATGACTTGAACCCGGGTTTTCCTGACTATTTTTTGCACCAGCAATCTCTCCACTATCTCACATGTTCCTTGCTGCCATCCCATTAGCCCGTCTTTGTCTTCTTAAGCTCTTGTAGGTATTTGAGAAAGTTGGCCTATTCTCAGAAATGTCAGAATTGTTCAGTAGCCACTCTGAAATTCCATGAAATTCCAGGATACTTTTCAGACACGATATCCAGAGATTTGGGGAAGCAAATAATTTTGCTTTAGAAAGCGGCCAAGGTGACCCTTACAGAAGGCCACAAAGTGCAGATTCATTGAGTAGGAGGATTTCAAACTTACAGAGACTTTCAAAGAACAGCTAGGCCAGGGTTATAGGAACTTGGGCCCCCAAGGGGCCACATGAGTTGTGATTCCTATGGGCTGTATATTGACTTAGTTTTAAAATGTAATATTATCTATATTTTATTTGTTTTGTTAAATATTTCCCAATCACATTTTAATCTGGTTCAGGTTGCATTCTGGGAATATTGTGGGCCACATGTATGATACCTCTGATCTAGTCAAACAACCTTATTTTTACAGATAAAGAAACTGAGGCCCAGAGATGAAGTGAATTTGCCTAAGGTAGTAGGGATAGTTCCAGGATTCAAACCCAGGCCCTCTCAGTCTAAATCTGAGGCTGTTATCACTGTACCATGCTTTCAGGAGACCTGAAAACCCAGCTTCATTATGAATGCTTATGTTCTTATTATATTTTCAGCAGATTGCACACTGACTTTTTAAGTTCTAGTAGCTTCATTGGAACAAATGATTACTAATTTTGAGCTCATCAGGCAATCATCTGTCATTATTGAATGTTTACACCAAGATGCTATTTGTTTAGTGACCAGTGTTTGCCTTTGGAAACTATATTGGAGAGTCAATGTAAGTGATGTTCACAGTGGTGCTGTTTGATTTCTCGTGGACAGATCTGTGGAAACACTCCCCGCTACCGGAAGAACATGTCACAGCTACATATAGCCTGAGCTCTGAATGACAGGAATAGTAGCTGATGAAGAAGAAAGTGAAGAGAATGGAAAATGATGTGTAGGGCAGGGCGATGCACCCTCAGAGCGTAGACCATAGCAGAGAAATTGGAATGTTTGCCTTATTAAATATAGGAAAGGAAGCCTTTATTTCATATATAGCACAGAAATGAAGGGATGATAATGAGAAAAAATAGAAATAGCAAAAAATGGTGCAGATATTATAGGGAAGGGACAATTGATGAACGGGATTTAGAGGATTTGGACATAAGCATGTGTTTTGCCTTTCTCATTGGGCTCACATTATTCCTAAACTGTGCGTTGGGGCCCTTTCAAAGTTTTTGCCAGTTGTAGTTACTGGATGGGGAGGGGGTTTATTCTCAACCCTGGCAGCTGGAATGAAGCTGCCCTGTGTTATATTTTTAAAAGTTAGTGTTAGAGAACCCAGCCTGGCACAGAGAGTTGATTGATTAGTCAGGGAAGATATGAACAGGGCTGCGTTGATATATCTGGAAGAGATTGGGTTTGTTTCATTAGAATATAGTGGAGAGAGGATGAGGAGTTCCTGAAACTTTAACCATACCCTTAGACTTGCCATTTGCTAATTGTGTGACCTTGGGGAAGATTTAGTCCACTCCCCTCATTTTATAGACAGGGAAACTGAGTCCCAGAAAGGTCAGGTGACATGCCTAAAGTCACACAAATGGTAAGTAGCCAAGCCAGGATTTGAACCCAGGTTCTTGGCTTCCAAAGCTATCATTCTTTCCTCTGAACCACTGAGCTGCTATTTATTCCATATCCTCGTTTGTGCCGTGGGAATAACTGTACTTCACCAGTAGATAAACTGGTTTGTGAGGCTTACAGGGCCATGTGGAGGTAAGCTCCTATTTTAAATGAGAAATCCCCTCCTCCAAGGGATCTTGACGATAATTGTGTGCGGTCTCACTTTCTGTGCAGTTGGTAATGTGGTCACTCCCATACTCACTCACCTCCAGTGGCTCCCTATTGCCTCCATTTGGCATTTAAAGCCCTTTACCACCTGGTTGCCTCCTTCCTCTCTGTCTAATCTTCTTACACTTGACTCCCCTCTACACACTGGCTAACCCAATTCCACTGGTGGCTGTACCTGCCGTTCCTCGAACACAGCTCTCCCACCTGGCTTTTTCTTGGCTGTCCTTCAGAACCTGGGCTACTCTCACTCCTTGTCTTTGCCTCTCAACTTCCCTGGCCTTCTCCAGGACTTAGCTCTCACATCCCTGCTCTACCTTCCCTTCCATTTAAACTATCCTTTGTTTGTTGGACGTTGGACTGTGCGCCGTAAGGAGGGGGAGGGACTGATTGCCTGGCATGTAGCAAGCACTTACTGAATTGATTATTGATTGACTGACAGTGAGTGGAAGTGAGACCTGTCTGGTGTCAACTCAGATGGGTTCCTGATTTTATAAATTCTTTTCCTCTGGCCTGGCAGTGATACTTCTTTGTCTGCCTCAGACATCTACTAACTGGGTGACTTTGGGCACGTCATGTAATCCTTTTCAAAGCCTCATTTTTCTCATCTTTAAAATGGGAATAATAATAGTACCTACCTCACAAGGTTCTATAAAGAACAGCAGATAGTTATTAAAGCACTATTATCATTATCAAGTTACCTTACTCAGACCTGCTTCCCTGTGTTGCCTGCCCACTGCTCCAGCATGTCCTCTGGGGCTTAACAGAACAAACGTTTCCCACTCCCATATAACTGCTTCCTGCTGTCCTGCCCTGACATCTTATTTTTTCCATTTGTAAAACATCCCTAGTTCCTTTTAACTTTTCTTCATGTGAGCGTTTCAAGTCCCCTATCATCCTGGTGACCTTCTGGACACACTCCAGCCTGGCAGTGCCCTTCCTAAAATGCAGCACCCAGAATAGAGCATGGTGTTCCAAAAGGGCAACCCTCAGAGGTCATCTGGTCCAGCTATCTCAAGTTCAAGGTCATGTCATATCCAGTAGTGCCTTGAGTAAAGTTGGAGGATGGGTGAACCATAATGGCTGTTTTAAAGTATTTGAAGAGTTGTGCCATCCCAGAAGGAGAAGTCTTCTGTTTAGCCTCTGAGGACAGAACTGTGGGCTGCTTGGGGGAAGTACTGAGCTCCTCCCCACTGAAAAACCCCCGAGGGATTCTTGGTCAGGTCTGGAGCTGGAGTAGATCGCTTCTGAGTTCCATCGTTAGTAATATTCTGTGATTCTCTGAGCTAACATGCTGCATGGGATTGATAATGTTCTGTGATTCTGTGAGCTAATGTGCTGCACGGGATTGTCCGCCTTGGGATCTGTCCAGCCCTTCCTTAGTTTCTGAAATCTGCTTTTCCCAGCTCTAGAGGGCAGTCAGACAGACTGCCTGGCTTGCCCTTTCTTACCTACTGCAGTCTCTAAGATGGCTTTTTCCAGACCCAGTGTGC